TTCATGCGTCTTACAGAACGAGTTTGAGCTGATTGACCCAAACACTGATGCCAAAATCCGGCCCGAAGCAAGCGTCTCAGCCACCAGTGTGACCACAAATAAACTCGGGACTAATCGTTTCAGTCGTTTCTTAAGCTGGCCTAGACTGATGCGTGCAGTGGCATACCTCATACGTGCTGCTGGTAACTTTCGGCGCCCTTCTCGTGCCGAGGAAGCTCACCTACCACGTGGCTGCCTTCGAACAGGACAGCTACCTGTCGAGCATTTGTCTCTTGCAAAGAATCTCGTCATTCGCTCCGTCCAACTAGAAGCATATGCAAATGAGCTCGAGTGTTTGTCACAGGGGAGGGGAGTCCAGAAATCAAGTCCACTTTGGAAACTGGATCCTTTTATTGATGACAAGGGCTTGCTGAGAGTCGGGGGTCGCCTCAACAACGCGCAGCTGAGTCAAGAGGAGCGGAGACCTCTAATCATACCTGGTAAACACCACGTCGCCTTGCTGCTCGTCATGTACTACCATGAGCAGATCATGCACCAAGGTCGACACATTACTGAGGGAGCAATCAGAGCCGCATTTTTCTGGATCATCGGAGCAAAACTCTGCATAGCGTCGTACATACACGGGTGTGTCATGTGCTGCAGACTGCGAGGAAGACAGCTGGACCAGAAGATGGCAGACCTGCCAGTTGATCGACTCAGTACAGAACCCGCATTCACATATGTGGGGGTTGACGTTTTTGGACCATGGAACGTGACTGCATGTCGAACTAGAGGTGGAGAAGCCAGCAGCAAACGCTGGGCTGTGCTGTTTATGTGCATGAGCATTCGGGCGATCCACATCGAGGTCATAGAGTCCATGGATGCTTCAAGTTTTATTAACGCTCTCAGGAGATTTTTCGCACTCAGGGGACCTGCAAAACAGCTGCGATCCGACTGTGGAACCAATTTCGTCGGTGCATGTTCAGAGCTCAACCTGAGGACTAGTGGTCTCGACAACGACAAAGTGCAAGCATTCCTTTCAAGCCAAAATTGCAGTGGGGTGTTCAACCCTCCTCATTTTTCTCACTTTGGAGGAGCTTGGGAGCGGATGATCGGAATCGCATGTCGTATTTTGGATTCCATGTTGTTAGAACACAGACCGAGCCGTCTCAGCCATGAAGTTCTGGTGACATTGTTGGCAGAGGTTTCAACAATCATATATGCTAGAACTCCTGTTCCTGTTTCGATGGATCCGGAATGCTGAGACATCTTGCCTCCGTCTACACTCCTTACACAGAAGGTTGGTGGAGACACGTTACCACCCGGCGAGTTCAACGTCAGGGATCTGTACAGAAGTCAGTGGCGTCAGGTGCAGTGGTTGGCAAACTGCTTTTGGCACCGTTGGCGTCGTGAGCTCTTGACAACGCTTCAGAGCTGCCGCAAGTGGCAGGATAGCCGTCGAGACCTCAAGGAAGGTGACATTGTGCTCCTAAGGGACAAACAAGTTCACCGCAACGAGTGGCCTATGGGAGTGATTGTGAACACGTTCCCGAGTGCAGACGGAAAAGTGCGAAAAGTAGAGATCAAGAAGGCGACCAGAGGAGAACTAAAAACTTTCCGACGACCAGTCACTGAGACTGTCCTACTCATCTCAAGGGAAGACTGATCCGAAACTTCAGTGCGTTTCCAGCTTGTAAACATTGCGTCATAGTGTCATAGTGGTATCTCGTGATACCAGACGGGGAGTGTGCTGTTATTGCAATGTAGTTGAGTTTGAACTTGCTCCGGTTAGCCGCATCGCGTTGGCATCAGTCTGTGCCGTGTGTGTTTTTCTTCCTTTTTTGTTTTGGACTCGTTCGATCTGGGATCACCATGTAACGCGCTACTACGATACACCGCCTTTTATGGTGGTTGTTGTAGATATAAAAGTCAGGGTGTCGAACTGGAACCGAACCGAACCGAAAACCGGAACCGAACCGGTATTTTTTCCGGAACTGAACCCGAACCCGAACCGTTATATTGTTATCGCGATGAACCCGAACCGGAACTGAACCGGAAAAAAAATAACGGTTACCGGCTCATGTCAAAACGGTTCGGCCACGCGCTGTTGACAATGAATGTGCTATCAATGCCATTTGTTTTTTAAGTGCCGTCAACTGACACACACCTCACTTAGATATTTTTCTTCTCCACTCAGTCTTAGGAATATAAACGCTGCATCCACGAATCTTGACAAACGCTGCATCCATGAAGCTTGACATAGGAACCAGTATTGCGCTGGTCGCGGCTTGCACGGAAAAAAGAAAATTGGAAGGCTGTGGAGAAAAAAAAAAAAAAATCGCGTCACGGGATTATATTTTTTTACAATCTCGTAAATCCTAAATGCTGCTGTGTGCTCATTTCATAACACGTTTCTAGAACGCGCGAGTTCTTGAAGCTTGCTTCCATCGGAATGAGAAATGAAAAGGCTGTGGATTTTGATAATGTTTGAGGGAGAGAAAGAAATTTTATTTACAGTTGAAATGGGCATTCATGAATTATATCTGCTCTTCGCTGCCCCAACCACCGGTCAGAGTATATCGAGCTATGAAGTGTCAAGATTTACATGCCGTATTTTTTCGTACCGGACACTCGATAAATGCGGGGAAAAAAACAACAACAGGGATACAAACCCTAGTCGCTCGCGGAGAAGCGAAGCTGCGCGCACTTTCGAATTTGACAAAGGATCTGCCGAGCTTCTGTTGCTTCCGTCGCCTGGCCAGCGCAGTCATGGGACTCAAGCGGGCGCGTGCGCTCAAACCAACGCTCAGCAGACGCTGGAGTTAGCGCCCGTGACTGTTTGCCGCTTGCATTGGCTACAGGCTTTTATAAACGTTATGCACTACTAGTTTCGACCACTTTTCATTTGTTTTCATCGGTGTTCTGCTGATTTCATATGTTTAATTTGTAATTTATTTTGATGTTGCAATTTGTCATTTATAATTTCCGAACCGGTTCGCAAACCGGTTCGCGGATCGAATTAATCGAACCGGAACTGAACCGGAACAAAATAAATTTACCTGAACCTGAATCGTAACCGAACCCGTATTTTTTTCGGTTCGACACACTGATAAAAGTACAGTTTTTCTATAACATCCAGTCGTTCGCTACCTGAGGAGTGGCCGTTCTGAGGCGCGCCATGGAATCAGGATATTTATGTTGCGGAAGAACGCTGCGGCTTAGCGATACCAGGTGCGTTCTAAGGCCCTTCCCGCGTGCTTTTCAGTAGACGGAAGGCGAACAAAAAGAGTTCGAAATAAGGACTTACCGCAGAATGCTGCATGTCTCCGGCGCTCATAAATTGACGAGCCTTGCACGAAAAGCACGTTTTAAGACGGGAGTTTGGAGAAAGTTTTTTTTTTTTACAACAACATGGGTCTAAAGTATCAATGCGGCCGTTTTTGTACCCCTTTAAGACACTCGATCATGTCCTGGGTAACGTATATTTGCTCATTCAGACCGATAAAAAAATTATAAACCGTTGTTATTGACGAAAGGAACGGCTATACCGGGAGATTTCTTTTATACATCTTTCGTGGTTAGGACCGATATCGCCGACACCTGCAGCCAGAGAAGTAGGGAGACCTACCAAACCACAGTGTTTTGTACATAAAGTCGACTATACTTCGCTTTATCCGATGCTTGGCCACAGTTGAGAGCACAAACACATAAAACCACAGACACACTAAAAGCGGATGGGTATACAGATAATTCACAAGCTGGTGTCAAAAAGTGGACGTCCGTTGCCGTAATAAAAACACCGCCCCAGTCTCTCTCCTCTCTCTCTCCCCCCCCCCCCCCCCCCCCCCCCCCCAAAGAAAGAGCACAAGACGGGATTTATCAAATTCCTTGTGAAGCCTGCCCCGTCACCTATATCCGTCAAAGAAACAAAAATTCAAACAACTGATTTGCTAAACATAAATACCATGCGAACGTTCCTTCATGTGCCCAACCCTGTTATCAACATACTGATATCAATGGCCACCGTATCAACTGTGAAAAGGCGTGCGTCTTCGTCACTGACTAACTAGTAGGTACAGTCATTTACAATATGAAAGACCCACTGGGAGCGCGTGGCTGAGGTTGTGGCCGGCAGGGGCGCTGCGAGCGCTCCGGTTAATTCCACTCTGCTACGAGGGGGGGGGGGGGGGGGGTATATAGCGCGGGCTTTAGCTGAGCCCCAAGTGAGTGTCCCCCCTCGGAAGAGAATCGAATTGCCCGGAGCGCTTGGAGCGCCCCCGCCAGCCACCGCCTCGACCATACGCTCCCAGTGGTTCTTTCATATTTGCAGGGGACTGTACATTTCATAGACGTACGCGTAATTCAGACTGCGCAAGGGAGCATAAGTCGATTTAGCGTCGCTGCACTCTCTGTCTATGCAAAAAAGGCTATGATGTAGTAGGATGGAAAGAAAAGAAATCACTGTAGAAGAAAAAGAAGGAAAAAAATTCGGCAGAGACACTTAAGACTGTTTACCTATAGGACTGCGAAAGGGCATTCCTACATACAGCGCGTCATGTCTTCCTTTTGCACACGGCGCTCCGGCGGTGACATCACGCTCCCCCACTTTGTTGGCGCGCGCCCCCTCTTGCTTCACGGCTTTCGTGACGATGCCTCTGCATTGCTGTGCTTTTCTGTGTGTTTTATTCTTGAGGCGCGTTAGCGCTTCGACCCCGCGACTTAGAGCGTCCGGTCGGCTCCGTGACGAAGCATCAAATATGACGCGTCGCAGCCAATGGGAATTTCGCTTGTAGGTGCAGTTTTTCTGCTACAGACGGTTACAGACAACGCCGGGTTCCCTCCATAGGGCAGGCCGGGTTCCCTCCATGGAACAGCTAATGCTTTCGCATTAAGAAAACATTATCGGTTCTGAAGAGGACACCACAATGGGTTTCTCATTGGAGGTTTGTCGGAAATGTTTTAAGTGTCTGTTTTTACTAAACCAGAAAAACTAAACTGGTGTTTTCGGAATATTCTTCTAGGTCCTTGTAGATCCTCGCCGGTGCCGAGCCACTTGCACTTATAAACCTGACCCCAATAAAGACACGCGTGTATCTGGTGGTGTTATTACCCGGGATCGTAATTATGAAGAGGTTCGTCTGCCAGAAGGAATGCCGTGCGCTTTTTCGGCGGTGAGTTGTTTTTTCACGAAAACGGTAGATGAATGGACCTAAATATGTTCTTAACATGGGGCGACGTCGTAGAAATGTGTCAGGTTTGGCTGGCGCTTTGATTGTGTTCGAAGAAATTAGTGCCGTGAAAGTTAAAATCCACAATTTGCAAAAAAAAAAAAAAAAAAACTGCTGCGGATGCGCGAGCAGAGCGTGTTGCTAGCGCCCCCTGTTTGGCTGGAAAACAAATAGGCGTGCCCACTGATCTCAATGACAATTGCTGGATCGCGCTTCCCCGCTTGTTCGCTGCAGCGCAAGTGAAGCCACCGGGCTTCACTCGCTTGGGATACGATTTGCCGTTTTTGCTAGCCTTTGCTGCGGTTTTCCAGCGTGCTGACGACATGTTTTCTACTCGTTCGTCGTCATTCGCCGAAGAAGTTTTTTGAAGACTCTGTGTATGTTGAGACTTGCCGTTGTGAACACGTGGAAAATTTTACGAAAGTGCAGTGTCGCAGGAAAAAGGCACAACGCGTCGAAAGGAAGGGCTGGCGGCGTGTTCAAAGATTCCTTGGCACGCCGAAGTGCCGTGTCTCTGTGCCTTCGCACGCTTGGATACCGACCAAGAACCGACGCCGTGTATATGTGTTCAGCGAGTGCAATGTGCGTGAAGCTGTTCGTGCCTCTGGATCAGCGTCTTTTCCCCTCGCGGTTTAAGGGGTATTCACACGAGGGAGAAATCCCGGTGATTTCTCCCCGGCACGCGCATCCCACGAAGAAAGCGCCAGGCTTTGCCATGTGCAAAAGCCTCGCGTTTTCGTCTCGTGATGCGCGCGTGCCGGGGAGAAATCCCCGGGATTTCTCCCTCGTGTGAATACCCCTTTAGGAACGAGCTTAATCCAGCGTCCACTAGCGACGGAAGATGGGGAGAAGGTACGTCTTTTTTTCGTCCTTAGACGATTTACACAATACCGTGCACAACAGCTCCTCATCACTGATCAGTGCTGGCTTATTATCAACCTACTTAATTGCATTTGACGTTTGAGCGCGGCTCGCCTAATTGTAATTGGTCAACAGATTGCACACGACCATATCGGCCGCGCTTCAAAGATTTTCATTCTCGCCGTCTTGTACTTTTGCTTTCGAAAACCCCCCTGGCTCCACGTACAACGTTGCCCTATTCGTGCTCCCACGGAATCTATTAGAGTAGATTTGGGACATAGCCATGGTTAATATAGTACATAAGAATACGTACAGATCTCCCCCTTTTATTGATAGCAACTCACCGGAACAGCTGGACGATCCAGAACTCCGTGGCCGATATATATAAATGATCTAAAGGCATCTACGCGCGACACACGTTGAGAACTTTGGCGCGGTGTCAATTCTTGACCGGTATCCAAGCGTGCGAAGGCACAAAGATGCATCACTCGGCGTGCCAAGGAAGCTTTGATCACGCCGCGACACCGGCGACACGTTTTCGACGAGTTGTACCTTTTGATACGGCTTCACGCACATTGCACTCGCTAAACACATTCACACGGCGTCGGTTCTTGGTCGGTATCCAAGCGCGCGAAGGCACAGAGACACGGCACTTCGGCGCGCCAAGGATGCTTTGAACACGCCGCCAGCCCTTCCTTTCGACGCGTTGTGCCTTTTTCCCGCGACACTGCACTTTCGTAAAATTTTCCACGTGTTCACAACGGAAAGTCTCAACAATACACAGAGTCTTCAAAAAACTTCTTCGGCGAATGACGACGAACGAGTAGAAAACGTGTCGTCAGCACGCTGGAAAACCGCAGCAAAGGCTAGCAAAAACGGCAAATCGTATCCCAAGCGAGTGACGCCCGGTGGCTTCACTTGCGGGAGCGGCAAGCGCGATCCAGCAATTGTCATTGAGATCAGTGGGCGTGCCTGCTATTCCTAGGCTGCGACAGAGTTATGGAAGCGAAGACACCGTGAACGAGGACGAAGAAAGCTCGCGAGTCGTTTTTGTTTGTCGCCACGCCGGAGTACTGTATTTCTTATGGGTGCGCGAATTACTTTTATGGTAAAGAAAACGCCAAGTTGTTTTTTTTTGTTTTTTTTTTTGTTTTGTTTTTTTAGATTTTCGTCTGCAGGAGGTTGTATTTCGCTAAGATAGGCTTGGATAGCTGTCGTGAGGAGAAGGAACATGGACGGCTCACCATGGCAGCCGAACGAGCACTGAAGGATCTGCAGCACACATTTTGTCACGGGTACGGCGTTTTTGTACGCTCCTGGGGGGACTTTTCCACACTATTCAATCTTGGTCTTGGGGCAACGCTTGGGACAGACAGCGCGCACGAACTTTACGCCTTACATGTATCAAGCCGAACCATGCGCCTCGAAGCCTAGTCGTATTCCAACAACTTTCCAGTTTCGCACCCAAAATGTCGAAATTTTTTCGTTGCGCGATAGGCGGCGCGGACTATTTTGCAAATCGTGGATTTGTCCTAAAGGCTATATTGCCATTAGGACTGTCATTCGCATGTCAATAAATAGATGATGTAGTGTTCATGTTTGGCGCGTTGATAATACTGGGTGAAACAAGGAGACGGCTGGCTCTTTAAATCGACTGCAAAATTCGGTTTCTTAACCTATCGCGCTACGACTTTGTGCAGCGTTGCCCACAGATGGTGCATTTTTTTTTTTGTAAAATTCGCAAAGAGCGAACCTACCTGAGGAAAAAATAAAGAAACAAAAAGGCTTAACTCCTATGGAAACGCAGCGACGCCACCGGTCTTCAAAGAGCACGGCGCCGTTTCGCACGGGAGACAAGAGATGGCGCAACGAACGCCGCCAACGCACGAGCATACGGCGCCGAGAGCCAGCGTCTTTAGCAGACAATCTTTTCGACTCAAAAGCGGCGCGCGTTCCGCAGGCGGCGACAGTCGCAGAGACAAAAACAGGCGCGGTAACAAGGAACTGGAGTTCTTTGTCTGCTAAATACGCCGGCTCTCGGCGTCGTCTGCTCGTTCGATGGCGGCAGTTGGCGTCGCGACGACTTGCGCCATCTCTTGTGTCCCGTGCGAAACGGCGCCATGTTGTTTGAAGACCGGTGGCGTCGCTGCGTTTCCATAGGAGCTAAGTCTTTTTCTTTCTTCACTTTTTCCTCAGCTAAGTTCGCTCTTTGCAAAATTTACAAAAAAAAAAAAAGACAAAAAAAATGCACCCTCTGTGGGCAACGCTGCACGAAGTCGTAGCGTGATAGGTTAAGAAACCGAATTTTACGGTCGATTTAAGGAGCCTGCCGTCTCCTTGTTTCACCCAGTAGATTTGCATAAATGCTACGTTAGTTGTTTGTGCAGTTATGGCTGCATATGTGATGAAATCGGCCAGAAAAAAAATGCACATATTTTTTTCACACAGAGATGCGACAAGGACGGGAACTGCCATTGCAAGTTCTGCGATGAAAAGAGAAGTACTAAAGAGCCAAGATAAACTTAAGAAATGCACTGGTGACACTGCCTTCAAAAAGGCGGGGAAGTTGTAATGCCCAAAACAAGGTTCGCACTTAGTCGCCACAGCGAAGAGAGCCGACGTTTGTTGCGAAAGACCAGATTAAAACTTTTTGAGAAAAATAAATATAGGTAATATCAAAATGCTTTCCCGGAATATAATAATAGGCCTACAGAGGTACGTGATAGGAGAAAAATGAATCTTGTCAGACGATTTGTGTGGCTTCCTGAGCAAGAGGCAACTGCCCAAAAAAACGTTCGGACTTAGTCGCCACCAGGGTGTAAAATAGACAGGTGGGGAAACGGCCCATAGAAGCCTACCGCAGCACCGTGACCGGATTGTGTACTCGTCTGGTTGCGGCTACCCCCGATTTGCGACAGATGGCGCTGCGGCGAGAGGAAAAAAAAATCAGAATCGGATTTGCATGGAACTTTATGGGAGAGTGCGCAAAATAAACCGAGAGCACGGCAGTCGTCCATTGAAAATCCACTAGAAACCATCTCCGTCAGTTTAGCTAGGTCGCCACCGGTCGCCCACCAGGAGTGAGAGTTCGCGGTGTTCCACATAGATGGCGCCACAGAAAAAGAGACAACCGAGGGGGACACAATCCGGTCGCTCATTTGGCTCTCGTTTCCCCACCTGTCTATCTTACACCCTGGTCACCACAGGGAAGAGAGCCGACTTATTGTATAAGGGACGAGGTTAAAAAATCACAGGAAAAAAATTACAATAATTATCAAAATTGTCTCCTGGAATGTGATGCTATACATACCGAGCTATGCAATGAAATGCGAAAGTATTATAGTCCCGCGGGTGAAATGTTTTCTATTAATGCTTCTACACGTATTAAGGTTTGGGAGGACGTATAGGACGACGTCGAGGACGACGTCCCAGAGATCGACGCCAAGTAAGGCATCTAGGTCGACCTGTAGTCAAAAGTCAAATTTGGGGGTTTTACGTGCCAAACAAACGACGGGCATCTGGCACGCCCCAGCGGAGGACTGAGGATTAATTTCGACCACCTGGGGATCTTTTGACGTGCAACCGAAAGCTCGGTTACACGGCGCCTTCTCCGCAATAGACCGTTTTACTGAAAGAGGGCGAGACAGAACAGGGAAAGGGCTACCGGTGCTTTCCCCCTTTCTGATTGTGTAGAAAGAGTGAAAGTCCCGGATGAGAGGCTTGGCCGGTGTTGGGTGTCTGCTGTGCTCCAACTTCGTTCGCGCTTTCTTTTCTGTTTTGAACTCGCAAACTTAATTAGACCAACGGGCTTCGATGGCAACAGTTCCCCGGTCATCGGGACACCATTGCTTGGTCATAGGGTGCACGAATAACGACAGAAAGCCTCGAATACTGTCCGAGGACCTATGTAGCTTGCAATGAATCCGGCAAGGCGAGAGCGGCTGCAATGTCTTTAAGCTCCATCGCTTTCCACATGACCCCGATCTTGGCGGCAGTGGATTGCGTTCGTAAACCGAAAAGACATTTCCTCAACACCTTCGTCTCTACTGTGCTCGGAACAGCTTGTGAATGGAGCGCGCACCGAACGCTGTACCGTCGATGAACATGGGGTATGCTCGCAAGATGCGTGCCAGTTTTCTCGTGATAATTGCCGTTTCAGCTTGTAAAATTTTTGTAACTGAATGATAATTTGCAGTGGTGACTGACTCCATTTCATCATTTACAACACTTAGTTGAAGGCTTATTTCCGCCGCCGGGTGAGGCTAGAAATTGTTGAAAAGGTAGTTCTATCGGTCTTCCTGAATAGCAATCCCCTGTGCGATACCAGAGAGCCGGCAAAAGCGCTCCTTGGAGTGCCGCTGGTGGGTTGTTTGGGTTGTTTCCGTTGATTGGGCGCTTTGAAGCGCTGGATAGCCGCTCCAGCGTACGACTCGTGTGTTGCGATCTGCGTCTTCAAGCCCAGTGTGTACGTTTCTTTGTTCAAGTCATGGGATTCGCCAGTGCGGCAACGGGGGGAACAGCGGCAGCGAACGTGTCAGTGATAGAAATTGGAGGTTAGTACTCAAAATATTGCATCAAATAGTAAAATAATTCGTGGCTGCTTTGACGCTTTCTGCGGTTCGATATAAGCACATCTAGAACGTCTTCGTCGTTCATCCACAATGAAATATGAGAACACGGACACGCAAGATAAAAGTAGCGCAGCAAAACGATATGTACAGCTCCGGGTGTTTACAAAAGTTAATTAAGGTTCCCGTTTCGTGTATCGCTTGTTCATTACTAAAGACGGCTGCGTTAAAATGGGTCTATTACAAGCAAAAATTTATGAATGGTTCATCATTTCCAGTCACGCGGAAAGCGGTGGAGCTTCAAAACATTGCAGCCGCACGTGCCTTGCCGAATTCCATGCAAGCTACGAGGTCCTTGGGCGGTATTCGACGCTTTCTGTCGTTATTCGTGCACCCTATGACCGAGCAATGGTGTCCCGATGACCGGGGGACTGTTGCCATCGAAGCCCGTGGCTCTAATTAAGTTTGCGAGTTCAAAACAGAAAAGAAAGCGCGAAAGAAGTTGGTGCACAGCGGACACCCAACACGGGCCAAGCCTCTCATCCGGGACTTTCACTCTTTCTACACAATCAGAAAGGGGGAAAGCGCCGGTAGCCCTTTCTCCTTTTCTCTCTCGCTCTCAAAACGGCGCTACCCACGATAAAACGGTCATAAGGTCGACCTCTAGAACGACGTCGAGAGCGACGTCAAGGACGTCATCTAGGACGACGCGGAGGACGACCTTTCGGACGACCTAAAGGACGACGTCTAGGTGACGTCGTCTTCGACGATCTCGAAAACGAAACCTAGAGGACGACGTCTAGGACGACCTCGAGGACGACTTCAAGGACGACGCCTTGGGGACGACATCTAGGACGACCTCAAAGTACCGGTGGACAACGTTAGACCTCAAGGCGTAATGTTAGACCTAACGTCAGGCCAGCGCATACCCGCGTCCCACCCTCACGTCAAACATCTACGCGTACCGGTTGACGACGTTAGACCTTGTGGGATCTTGCTATCAACACAGGTACCGATAGAGTAACCAAAGGGTTGTCTCAACAGCGGCGATATCTCAAAGGAGACGTCAAACCTAGTAGCGCGCGGTCCCCACATCTCCGCGGCAATATAGACGAACGTTTAGGGCTACATTACCGCGGGTCGGTTCGATTAATTACCTCCGTCGGTGCCAATGGTCGTCTACCTTGTCTCACGCTCTCGAATATAGCGGAAGAGAAGACACACGTACCAGAGTAAGGACAGAGTCCAAGAGCATTTATTATAACACTCTTAAGTGAACTACTATGTCCCCACCCAAAATGCCCCCCCGCGCCGGCAAGGTAAGAAAAGTTCCTTACCTGGCCAGACGCGGGGTTCCGGAGAGCCAAGATGGGGGAAGCGTCGGAGAAGTCGCCGACACACGTCCTATCTCTTTCGCGGTCAGCCGGACGAGTCCCCTTCCCGAGAGCGGGAAAACAAGAGGCGAAACCTCCTCGCCTGTCAGCAGTGATCCGCATCCGAGCGGGGGAACGGAAATCGGTCCCCCCGAGAGAGAGTGAGAGGAGGGCCCCCCCAAGACAGGGGACCCTCCGCCTCACGAACAGGTCGGAGCTAACGGCGAAGAAGGCCGAGTGTTCCGACCCGCGGCTGTTATTACAGCCATCGGGGAAGGGAGACCACAGGAATCCCCACAACCTCAAAGCGTGACGTTATACCTAACGTTAGGCCTGACGTCAGCCCAGCGCATACCCCCCCCCCCCCCCCCTCCTCCTTACCGCTCTGCCGTTAGCAGTTTGGCTGGCTCCTCTGCAACGATGACCCCGTGGCTAGGGAGCCACATGACGCGTCGCACCCAATGAAAATTTAGATCCCGTTACACTCAGCCAATGGGAATTTAGGTGGCGTCTTTCGCCGGCTTCACTCCATGCGACAGTTGATGCTTTCGCAATAATACACATTTAATCTGTTGAAATAGTAAATATTCGCAAAATGTTTTGAGCGAGAAATCCGTGCTGGCCCAATCATGTTTTCACGCTACTGCGAGCTCTCGATAATAACGGAACTTTAGACCTCGATGACTCAAGATTGAACGTGAATTTCAAAATGCTCTCCTGGAACAAAATAAAGCTAAGATTAATAAAATAATCGTATTTGACTTCAAGTGTCTGTGGCGCCACGATTTTCTTCCTGGGAAGTGAGTGTCATGGTCTCTTTTTTAATGGGGGTATATGGGAACCGGTTCATTGATTCAGGAAGAAAATATAATGGTCGCGTAACATTGAATTTCTTAAAATAGGCGGGCTATTGGGTCAATATTACAATCCTCCAAGTGCAAAAAAATCGGCGGGTTCTTTACTGAATTACAAAAATATAAATTTTTTTTTGTCCATTGAGTTAAGCTGGAGTGCTGACGTGACTGCAGTGAGATGGCGTAAGTTGTAAGCAGCGGCTAGAGTTCCTGTATAGGCTCCCTACGACAGCCAGAGTTGCGCCCTTTTTTCCCGTAGCTCCGTCTTTCCTGCACGGCATGTTGATCCAGCTGCTCACGTGACTGAATTCGGCGAATAGCGTCGCCGCGCGTTCGAGGTGCGCGGCGCGTTCTAAAACAGGGGTGCATTGCGCAGCGAAGGCTAGAAGCGCGAGCTCATAGCGTTGGCAACTGCCCTTGGTACACGAGAGCTTGTGCCGACGAAATGTGCCCTAAAAAAAGGAGCTCGCGCTTGTAGCCTTTTTTGCGTTACAACATAAGGTGAAACAGAGTATAGTTGGGTCATTCTTACGATGGGCCAGCTGAACAAAGATGTCACGCAGAAAAAACACCATTCACACTGCTGGACTAGCAATAGTTTAATGCTCCTCTTTTTCTTTTTTCCTTTGCGAGTGATTGATAATTTTTTTTTCGCGTAAACATAATTCCTTTTTTTTCTTTAGGTCGCTTTTCGACTTGCTTGTCTGGTTTTTAGGCGTTTGCGC